TCGACCGAAGCCGAGCGCAAGGAGCGCGAGGCGCGCGAGAAGGAGGAGCAGTACTGGCGCGAAGCCGAGGGCAGCAAGTCTCGCGCGGCCAAGAAGCGCGAGGAAGAAGCCGAGAAGCGAGCTGAGGCCGCTGCTCGCAAAGCCGAGGCGCGCCGATTGGCGGAGCTGGAGGAGAAGGAGCTCGAGAAGGCGGTAAAGAAGCCCGATAAGAAGGTCGGCCGAGTCGGGATCCCGGTTCCGAAGGTCACCGAGGCGGAGCTGAGGAAGCAGAAGGAGGCGGAGCAGGCGGCGTTGGAGAAAAAGTCGAATGAGGTGAAGAAGAAGCAGAGCCGTACGGCCGAGGAGGAGGAGTATGAGAGGATGGTGGCGGTGGAGAATAGGAATCGGGACGATTCGATCATCGAAGCGAGGTCGGTGGAGGAGGCGGTTGCCAAGATGACGGTGGCAGAGAGCTTGCCGGTGGATCGGCATCCGGAGAGGAGGCTCAAGGCGTCATTTAAGGTGCGTTTTATGTGGTTATTGGGAGAATTTAGGGTTTTATGGTCTTGTGAATTGGATTGCATTGGTTTTGATTTTGTTTGGGATAGCTTTGAAATCTAAAGTCTAATTCACTTGGATAGAATTGTTTTTGCTTTTGTTGAATAATTGAGCATTAGGAATTATGAGTATGAGGGTTGGAGCACTAGACATGATTGAAGTAGCTGAATTCTGAAACACGGCTTTATGTGTTATTTGCGGTGATATCATGATCTCACATGGCCATGAATCATGATCAGCTTCTCGAAAGCAGTAATTTGGTGTGTGGGTGTACGTTAGTGTTGTTTACTTGTTTGTGTTGGCACTGACATCTTTGCAATGTGAATTGGTAATTGAACACCTGTTTCAGACATATCGGTTGCCTGTTGAATTTTGAGCAAATTTAGCTATAGCTTTATTTCCATTTCATCATGGAGTTCAAACATAGCTTAAAGCTATTATAACTTTTATAGTAATTTATTTATTCCCTTGATCTCAGTAACAAACATATGTTCTTTGTATACACTGTATCTCTAGAAATGATGGTTGGCAGAAGTTTGTAGGTTTCATGTGAGTAGTCGATGTACAGATATATCTCATGTTTGATCCCTCTTGGGGAACTGCAATTTAAAATGTGATCTTTGTAGTTGTTGTTGCTGCCCCACTTCTGTTTTGCAGTATTGGCGTTTCCTGATGAAGTATAATGTTAACTGTTGGTGTCTTCGGATGAAGTATAATTTTGGTTGCTATTGTTAGAAGCTAACTAATATTCTTAGTGGCAGTGATTTGTTAATGGCCAGCAAACCTTTTCAATGATGTCTTTGTAAACTTCCATTGATAAGTTAGCCCTTTTTCTATCTCGAAAAAATAAGTCACCCCTTGTTAATAAACAATATTATCTCATTGCTTGCTGCTTCGGTCTTATGGAAAATTTTGACATTAGTAATTTTGTTCTCTTTGTCTTTATAATATGACGAGATCTTGTGATAATTGTAGGCTTTTGAAGAAGCTGAGCTCCCAATTCTGAAGGAAGAGAAACCAGGTCTTACTCACAATCAATACAAGGACATGATATGGAAGCTATGGAAGAAATCTCCCGATAATCCTCTAAATCAGGTATGTCCATATTTACTTTTTTTGTTTTCTCTGGTAAACTTAATGGTTTCTTTTCTGTCTGCTTAAATCCTTGAATTGTTGTCCTCATGTCATATATGCTCTCACCAATATATAGAGCTTTGTTCAATACCTTGAAACTTTTGTTACTTAAGACACTGTATATTGGCTTAGTGCGTCATGCGTTCAGATCGATAGGTTTGTGTGTTACATGTTGGAATATATAAAGCTGTTTTAAGTTGTTAATCATATGTTAGGATATCTTTTTGTGACAATGAAGCCAGCCTAATTTCTACTTTCACATTTGCAGGTTGCTGAGTGATCACAGAGCATCTTCACCATGCAAAGGCTGTTGAGTTTCTCTCCCAGGCTTGTTTTGCCGATTTCATCATGTCCAACCAACGTAGATTTGTAATTTGAAACGCATATATGGTTTACGCCCTACTGTATGTGCCATGCCCGCTCAATGAAACATGATTTAAATAATTATGCAGTGTTTTACCCCCCACCCCGGGGCGACATATTTACATAACTTTTTGTTTAGATTCAGTCTGCTGTAAATCTGGTAATAGTTGAAAGCCATTAATTTGATTACAGGTATTAGTTGGAATTGGAAGCCATTAATTTGATTTGTCAAGATATGTTTTCGTCACATATATAAACCAAGTATTGTCCCATTTATTCGTGTGGGGACCAAGCCTTTGAAAAAGCTCCGCCATCTTGATCGGTTTTGGTTTTGATAAAATCTTATTTATTTCTGTTTCATCATTTAATTGTTCGCTGCCCTAAACCCTCAATTCCCCCATACACAATAAAGCAGAAAGAAAAAGATATATAAAGCAAGGGCAATGAAACGAGTTATAACCACGTCTTGAATTTGGTTCCTAGAATTCGAAATCTCGCAAATGTAATGTGATTATAACCGAGGTCAAAGTTTATTTATTTATTTATGAAAAAGTTAGGAGGAGACACTGCGAATGAGGTGATCTCAACATAAGTGAATGCCCTTTTTTATAAGGCTAAACCCGTCGGCAAGAAACACAATCTTTTTAGATGGGCCAGCGGACTCTCCTCATTTATGCAACAACAAATAAGCGAGGCCATTGAATCTTATACCGACAGACAGAAAATAGATATTGGGTACAAGCCAATTCAAGTGAGTGATAATAAAAAGACATCTCTAACTCTTCCATTTTCTTCTCTCCAATTTGCTTGAAGAAAGCAAATCCTTGCACTGTGTGAGGAAAAAAAAACAAACAAACATGAGCTTATGATCCTGTTGATGATAGTTGCAAGTTGCAACAAGCCCCTACAACCTTTTGGAAATAGTTATGTTGTGCCATTAATACCAGCCAAATATTGGTAAAAGACTTATTCCCATCAACCACTTCACGTCATGAAAATAAATCAATAGAAGGATATGTTAGAAACACAGGGAAGCTACCAGAACCAACAACCAGAAGCAATCTTCTTCTTAAGTTCTGAAATGAACTGGGTGCCTCAGCACCAGGTACCATGGTTAGATAAATCAGAAGATTGAACCCCCCCAAATGTTATCCTTCAGGTCCTCCAAGGCAGTGAAGAAGAAGAAGAAGACAATTATTGTTGGTCTAAATTCAGATAGCTCCAGCAGAGAGATGCTACTTAGATTGCTCATTTCTGTTGTTAAAGCAGGGGACAGTGTAACAGCTGTTCATGTTCAAGAAGCAGATGCTGATGCTTTTGATCCAAACTCTTTCCACACCCATGAAGATCTCTGCAAGTCCAAGAAGGTATTGAATTTTTTCTGTTCTTTTTTCGTGAAATTGTAAATTGGATAAGACATTGAGGAAAACTGGGCTTATGGCTGTTTTTTTTCTTCAATGCAGGTGGATTTCCATGTAAAAGTCTGCATTACAGATTCATATGTTTCTGAATTACCCTATCAAGTGAGGATCAGCTATGCAACAATCCTTGTACTTGGTTGCAGCCTTTCAGGGTAATGAAACTATAAAACCAATCTCTCTCTCTCTCTCTCTCTCTCTCTCTCTCATGTATGGTTAATTTGGTTAAGTACAATGCAGGCCAAGCCTTTCAGCTATCAATACTTGCTTGAAAGGGTTACCTCCCTCATGCACTCTTCTGGTAATGGATACTGTTGGAAGAATACTTTTGGAAGGGCAGGGGACCTCCCAACAAGGCTCTGTGAGGGCAGCAGCCCTGCAATCTTCTCAGTCATTTTCTTCAACCTACACTTGTTCTGATAAAAAATCAAATATCACTCCCCAGTTGCAAAAGTCATTCACCGTACCAGCTTCCTCTACAGGGCCATCAATGCGACCAACTACTAGACGAGCACTCTCTGCTGTAAATAAAGTGGTGGAGGTTTCTGACTCGGTGGCTGAGAAACTGTTTCATAAATTGGCACTGTTAGAAGCAGAAGGGTCCATCAGGAATTTCGCACCGCAAGAGCTTCGTTATGCAACTAACAATTTCAACTCTGCCATGGTGATTGGAGAGGGTGGACATAGTAAGGTGTACCGTGCCAAACTTGGAGATGGTCAAGATGCTGCTGTGAAAGTCCTCAAATCCTCACACTGTTCTGCTGTGGATTTTTTTCGAGAAGTACACTTGTTTTCAAGTATGAAACATGAGAGCATTGTTCAGATAATCGGGTTCTGCAATAACAAGGAGGTGCAAGCAATTGTATATAATCTTTTAAAGGGAAGTTTGAGGCAGAATTTGAGACAACTTAGGTGGAGTGAGAGGATGAAAGTTGCAATTGGAGTGGCAAAGGCACTGGACTACCTTCATCATTCTCACAACCCTCCTATCATTCATAGGGATGTGAAGTCATCCAACATTCTCCTCTCCCACAATTGCGAACCGATTGTAAGTTCAATACTAATTTCTTATATTTGTGAAGCTAACCAGCATAAACTAGGTTCAGGGTAACCAGAGCTTTAACCAAATCCAGATTTAATTGTACCTTTTATAGATCATACTTGTGTTTTGATGATTGCCTCTCATGTTAAACTTTAGGTAAATAGCTCTATATTTTGTCTCTGATTATGTTGACTACTGTGAATCTACTTGCACAACAAAATGAAGTTTCCACATTTCTAAAATACTTTTAACTTTCAATTCCCAGTTGTCGGATTTTGGAGCAGCTATGTTCCTTCAGCAAGCTTCAGCTAAAACAAAGGCGCCATTTGATGTCGTTGGGACATTTGGATACTTAGCCCCGGAGTACATGATGTATGGCAAGGTTGATGAAAAGATAGATGTGTACTCATATGGAGTGGTGCTCCTAGAACTCATCACTGGGAAAGAGGCTATTCAAACTGACCAGGAGATTCGTGAAAGCTTAGTGCTATGGGTAATGGAAGAAACCAACAAGTTTTAAAACCAATTCTGAAAAATAGTCTCTTCCTCTGAAGCTGCGTGTCTTTGCTCATTGACTTGCAGGCAAGGTCCTTGATGTGCAGTGGCATATGGGAACGTCTAATTGATCCTAACTTGGTTGAAGACTATAACAAGGAAGAGATGGAAATGATGATGATCGCAGCGCGCCTCTGCCTTATGCATTCGTCTTCTCGAAGGCCAACCATGAAGATGGTACTCCTTGTTTTCTTCTTTTCTTCATACTGAAAAAAAGAAAAAAGAAATCTAATAACTTCTGTATCAAGTTATCAACATGGCGACAAACTGCAAATGTTTGCTTGGCAGGCCACTTTGAGACTAGGTTAACATTTAGTTAGTTCTAACTAAGATGGCTTTCATTGTTGTTTCTGTTTGAGCAGATACTTAGGTTCTTTGAGAAGCCAGAGCACTGGTTAAGGATGCAAAGGGAAAGA